AATATATATATATGCAATACAATTGCCAAGCTCGGCGAACAACTGAACATCAAATTATACCACCCGAGCTACAAAAACAATAATCAACATCGTTGTTTACCAAACTGTCATATATATATATATATATCACACTTGTTTCAGGACAAACTGTATGCCAAGCAAAACATGGTACAATAATCTTTATAAAAAAGAAAAACGTTCCATGACTGTCTTATGAACCGAATACTGCCAGGTTGTCCAGGCCTAGGCAGATGAATTTTCTCGAGGAATTCACAACCGGACCCCTTGGCTAGTCAAAGCCTGACCCGCAAAGTAGCGGCGAAGTGTGCGAAAACCGCAATCCATTGGGGGGGGGGGCGGTGTCCAGTTCATGGGATCATACATCCTTTGGACAGGTTCAAATGTCCAAGGTGCCCAGTACACGAATGGTTCGTTTACGCTCTCGCGTTGGATCTGCGCCCCACTGCCTTTTGAGTCAGTTCCAGTTCAGTTTGGACAACCATTGGCTATGCATTTTCTTTTGCCTTTTTCTGTTGCTGTCTTTTGGTTACCCATTTGGATGAAAATTAGAAAGAAAACAAGAAGGTTGAAGGAAATGTAAAACAGAAAATGGAGAATTACAGTGATCGAGATATAAGACACAGTTCAGCTGCTCCCCGTCGACACAAAATCTCCTCTGCCCGAGTCAACTGAGCGAATACTGTCTGTTGACATTAGTCCTTCATCTGAAAATGAGGTTACCCGCTAAATAAGTTTTCTCAAACGGCATAAGGCTTCTGGCCCCAACGCGGTGTCCCCATCGGTTTTTAAGGATGGAGGTCCAGCCTTAGTTTTGGAGTTAACAAATCTCCTGGGCACAGTCTGGGAGAGGAAAGAGGTCCCAACTGAGTGGTGATTGGTGGCTATATCTATTTGCAAGGTGACAGATCCTCCTATTGAAACCACAGAGGAATTAGCTTAGTCAGCATTGCCTCTAAGATTCTCGCCGGTATCATACTCTGTCGATTGTCTGCCGAACGGTAACGGTGTACGCGTGAGAACCCGGCTGGTTTCAGACTTGGTCGAGGTTGTATCTACTACATCTTCACTCTTCGTCAAATTCCAGAACACAGCCACTCCTTTCGTAGACCCACCATTTCTATCTTCATCGACCTGATAGTGGCTTTCGGCTCAATTGACTGCCTCAAGCTCTGACGCTGCCTTGCTCTAAAGGGTGTGCCCGAGAAGTTTATTTCAATACTACAATCGTTTCATACTACTAGTCGAAGCTGAGTCCGAGCCTACGGCACTTTTTCGCCCGAGTTCACCACGGAGAGCGATGTTCGTCAGGATTGCCTTCTCCTATTCTATTTAACTTTGTTATGAATGGAAACAGCTCTATCATCGTGCGAGGATAGTGGCATCGATTTACTCCCAGGTGGCGGGTTTCTGATCTACAGTGTGCAGACAACATTGTGCTACTAAGTGAAGATTCACGTAGGTTACAAGCTTTTCTGGATAGTTTGAGTGCTAGCGAAGCCATGTGCGGTATGCGGTTTGTAAAATGTTGCTCCAAGATTGGGTTGGTCTGGCACCCGGTCTCACTCTGACTGGGGAAGTAGTAGAGGAAGTAGACAAGTTCTGTTATCTGGGCAGCTATATCCCACCTGGCGGACGCATCACAGATGAAGTGTCGGCGCGCATACAAAAGGCTCGGTTGGCATTGGCCACATTGAGACATTTGTGCGCCGTCGCGACATCCGGCTGTCTGTGAAGGGTCGATTATGTGCCGCAGCAGTTCGGCCAGTCCTGCTGTACGGTGCAGAGACTTGGCCAGTACGGGAACAGGATAAAAATAGATTGTGTGTTCGAACACCGCTGTCTTTATGCCGTTGCACGAGTCTGGTGGAGTAACCGGACGAGCAATGCTGAGGTTAGGTGTAGAGTATTAGGCAGTCGCGGTCGTCCACTGGAGAAAGTGATCGACCTCGATAGATTACGTCGGTTAGGGCATGTGTTACACATGTCACCAAATAGGTTGCCAAGGCGAGCGACGTTCGCCGAGGCAGGTAGTGGGTGGGAGAAAGTCAAGGGAGATCAAACGAAGACCTGTCATTAGGGTATGAAAACCCTAACCATGAGAATAAGTCACACAGGCCCCACCAGGCTCCTTGGATGGGGATCCCGAAATGATAGTCACCGATGGTTAGAGACACTGAGTGGTATGGTTGGGTGTCGCAAACAGTGGCGCCCGTGCATCCACTCATTATTCTCCTAACACCACTCTATATGAATTCTCCATATTGCGCTTGAATTTGTTTCTAACATTCCAATCTTCATTCTGCTCTTTTGTCCAAGGCAGTAACCAAAACCGGCGCATGAAGGTGCACGGTTAATGGCTATAAAAGCTGAACTGAACTGAATTCTGATGTAATATGTATTCAATGCAGTATCACATTTCCAATAGTGGAGATGTTCAGTACAATTCAGTTTATGCAATCAGTAACCGTGCACTTTTGTGCGGTGATTTTGATTGCATTCTTTTGGCTGCCCATTTGGATGAAGGAGTAGAAAAGATATTGGAATGCGAA